AAAAAAAAGAAAATGATTTGCTGGAACCCGGCACCTGCAGGCCACTGCCTGGGTGGGCGGAACGTTGTTGTGGCGAACGCAGGCAGCATCCAGGTAGAAAGGCCTTTTAGCATGGTTTCTAGAAACATCCCTCTCTAAGAAGCTGCTATTAGTACTCTGACTCATTTTGTTCTGTTGACATGCTGTGCTTCCTTCACAACTTCAGTGAAGTAGCTGGGCTCAGTGTTGTGGCGAACGCAGGCAGCATCCAGGTAGAAAGGCCTTTTAGCATGGTTTCTAGAAACATCCCTCTCTAAGAAGCTGCTATTAGTTAGTACTCTGACTCATTTTGTTCTGTTGACATGCTGTGCTTCCTTCACAACTTCAGTGAAGTAGCTGGGCTCAGACTGAGGGGTAACCAGAAAGAACATCTGCAGTGATACATACCCTATACCTGGCTGTGATGGTGCATTCACATTAAAGTAATTCACCTGCACCATTTCTTTCCAGTTCACGTGATCACCAAGAAGCCTATGTCTTGGCATGATAATATAGAAGAGCCAGCAGATGGTAAGAAATCTCTGAACAGCTTGTGATAATTACATAAGAAAATGACAATAAATAAGATTAAAAAATTCCAATCAGTCTGAAAGATGATATACATGGAAACACCCCTGTGACAATATAAGAAAGTTAGTCATCATTTGCATTAAACATAAGGCAGGTTTTTTCTGACTTTAAGGCCCTTTCCCATTACTTCTCACTATCAGTACAAGCTTGCATTCATGCAATAATACTTTTATTTTTTGGTTTTAGTTATCATCCTATAAAATTCTGCTTGAGAATCTAAACCTCTTCAGGAGGAAACAAAAAAAAAATCTAGAAACACGTATTACACATACACATTGCCTGTCATTGCAGATTCTACCTAACCACTGCATAGGGTAAACTGCTGAAACAGCTGCTGAGTCTTGCTTTAAAGCGCTAATGACAGGGACCTTTAGATCAGCTGCTCTCTTATTTCTAACATGCCAGTTCTGTCTGAAAACCTTAATGGTCGGTTAAGGTTGGCCTGTTCTCATCAAGGATTAGTGAGGCAAAAGAAAATCAAAACAGGGAACGGCAGCAGGTCTCAGGCAACTGAGAACGATGAGAGCTAACACGGAGCACTGGTTGATACTAGAAGTGGTACAAGACAAGTAAGATGCTGAAATACAGTAGACAGGCATCACAGAATTAACAGGACAGCATAGGCAGGCAAATCTTGGAACTTCATCAGGAAAAATTTGAGTAGAAATGCCAACCTGCATTCTCTTTCAAGACCATTTGCAGAAGCACAGAAGTTGCCTCCAACCTTGGCTTTCTTGCTATTGCCTGGACAGCGTTAGGATGTCCTGTTCTAACACACATCCACAGGTGACTGGTTTTTAAACATACTTTTTCATCTGTGTCTCTTAAACCAACAGCCAAGTTTCTGAATCTTATTCACCATGCAGCGCTGGAGCCAACAAAGAAATACTCAGAGCCACAAACTGAAAGCCAAGAAATTGGCTGGAACACAACGCCTTTGGTGAGTAGGGTGCTTAAGGACTCGGCTCTTTGCAGGATTCAGAGAGGTTCACCCCATCACACTGAAAGATATTCATACAAGAAAATAATTTGTGACAAACACAGAAAACAGGAATGACTAGGAATGAGCAGAGCTGTTCATGGACAACAAGTTTTTAAAATGTACTCTTCACACTGGGTTCTGACTACAGAAACAATACTTTCCCAAAGAAGGTTGCATGCAAAATATCTACAATGACAGTTCACCCCAAGCATATTGCCAAATACCACATATGTAGTCACGGCTGTTTATTAAAGCACTCTGCCACCAGAAATGGCGTAGTGAGCAATGTGAAGTGACATACGTAACTACCGTGAGAAGAAATGTGCTGCTGTACAGGATCTTTCAAACAAATTGCAAGAACAACCATAAAATTAATAATCAGCTAAGTATACCCGAGGCAGAATACACCAGTGAGGATTCATCTGGCGAAGTGTGAGTAAACAGGAGGAAAAGAAATCTTATTGACACATTGAGACATCAGTCATATCTGACAAACAAATAGCTGTGATGATGACTGACTTTGTAGATTAGCGTTTCCAGAAAGGCAAATGAAGGCCTGATTCATTTTGGCCAGTTGCAAAAAAAACTAAGAAAATGAGAAAATAAGAGAGTCTTCTGCAACTTTTCATATTACACTTCAGGTAAACTAGTTACTCATGACAAGGCTAGAGACAGACATCCCAGCAGGGCTTTACGCTGTTAAGACACTGGTGGTAGGATTAGGCTGGCAGGAAAGAGGAAGCAGTGAACAGTGGATTCTCAAATAAGTGGTGTCCTACTCGTTTGCCACTTGGGCATTTCTCAGCAGCAAGAACACTGTGCATCACTTCTGAGGAGGGACTACTGCTACTAATTCTAGTAAGAGCATATGAATATTCATCATTTTTCTTTCCCAGATTCAAGTGGACCGTACTGATTGCAGACTCTACTTCCCACGCCGGAGAACTGACATCACTAAATGCTGCCACGGGGCACGGGGAGGAGCAGTCTGAGAACCTGCAGTAGTAGAGTGGCAAAGCCACACAACTTAGAAGCAGTTAACGACATCTAATGTGTTAGGCCCTGCTTGTTATTAGGTGTGTCTGGTAGGTTTCTGGCAAGAGAAGACAGCGAGAAAAGGGAAGAGAGAACCTCAGTCTGTCCAGATCTGCAGCCTGACAATAGTTACAGAAATAAACCTATTTATGACATTGCTGCATTTGTCTCACTGCTGTTCCCAAACCCATCTATATAAATAGTCTAAAAAACACTTTAACTTCTTGACAAGCTTCAGACCTCTTATTCTGACATCGGCAACATGATCCAGAACTCAAGTTCACCAAGTACGTGTCAACAGTAGCTGTGGAAAAAGCTGTCAGAATGAAGGGAACAAAGGGCAGGCTTCAGCCACCATTCATAACACAGCTAAACACAAATTAGACATAGTTCTGTGCGAACCGTTTAATGCGTTCACACACCATAGGTTTAAGTACAAAACAATCCTTCAACAAAACAGACAATACGAAGATATTAGTGATAAGGCACTAGTTTCCACTGACTTATTTTCTTGCCACTTGGAAGCATCCAGCTTGCTCCATGGTTAGCCGCTCGATGACAGCAGAAACAGACATCTGACAACACACAGGAACATACGAACCCCACTGGGGAGCACAGTCCTCTTATCGCGCTCGGCTCTTCATTTTCTGCCTTGCTCTCTTTCCAGGTCTCTTCTGCAAAAAAAAGGACAGATTCAGATCTTTATTTTCATGTTTTCAATCTTTGTTCTAGCTCTACAGCTTGGGGAGGATACCAAGGAGAGGATATTTGTCAGTACCTCTGGAGAGGGAGGTTTTGGGACACAGGCAGCAAGAAACAGTACTCTAACTCCCCCACTCGTTTCCCTGCTCAGACACTGAGCCATCGTCCTCAACTCTGTCTGCAACTGAATTACGCTCAGCTCCCCAAGACATACACTGTCACTTCCAGATGCAGGAGGCACCCATCATGTACTCAGCTCTCCCTCCCAGACCAGGGCTGGCTTCCTAGCCAACCAGGATCATTTGCATGCAACACTTTACTTACATTGAGGGCTTTTTTTCCTCCTTTTCCTGGGCCTTTGTTGTGAGCCACTTTTGACCGGAAGCTGGACACATCATTAAAACTCTCCTTTGTGTTCCACTTCGAGCCCTTCTTCTTCCCACCAAAACCAAACTTCTGATTCTTGTATCGTCTTTTGGCATTTGGTCTGAAAAACAACCAAACAGCATCATCACTTATATTCCCTTCTCTGGGAAGCTCTCAAGAAGGCACGTGTACCTGCTGATGGACTCCCATCAGCCAGCATAAACCTCTCCCCTCTTTCTGAAGAGACAGAAATCAGCGTATTTCAGTCTCCATTCCATTCTGGCCACAGTCTTCCTCCTCTCTAGGGACAGAAAGCCACCTCAGACTTATTTTAATGAACACTAATCAGAACAGGTTTCTTGTTCAACAAAATGATCTCCTAAAAGACTGAAAAAAAATCAGATTCTGTATTTAAATATATTTCTTTTCTGGTCTCACCCCTTCTTTATCCATTGACTTGCACTGCCTTTTTTATTCCCCTGAGACGATGTCTGCTCTTCATCTAGAAAATCCAGCTTGTCGGAGAGACCTGCAAGAGCAAAGACATTACAGTTCCTCAGCTACCACCACAGAAAATATGAATTTTCAGTCTAAGCAAGTAATAGCAACAAGCCACCCTCACTGAAGAACACTACCTGGGAGGATTTTCACTGCCACTGGCATATGCTTCAGCACAGCAGCAGCCTTTCAAGTCCAGCCCCAGAGATGGACACCACACATCACACTGCCTTACATTGCTCACACACCCCTATTCCCATTACACATTCGCTCTCTTAGACAAGTTGACTTTACCTTTCTGGTATTTCTTGACTGCATTCAACATATTTTTTTTCTCCTTTTGCCTCCTCTGCAGAATCTCAGTTTGCACCTGAGATTAGAAGCAGAATGTTAGTGTTCCTTGTAGTGTCCCATACTTTTTTTTCTTTTAAAGGTACCCCACATTTTGCTATGTTTTCCTTCAAAGCTGCTAGACAGAAGACTGGACAGATTCCATGTATTTTAGCCAGCCTCCTGTGGTTTCACTTTCTAAGCTCCTCACTCAGGCTCTAGATTCTTGTCATAGATAAGTCCCTTTTGTAGCTCCTTCTCACCTTCTTGCCATATTTTCTCATTGCGCGGAGCTGTTTTGCTCTCTCAGACCTCTCCATTGCTTCCTGTTTACTCTTAAGCTTCTGTCGAATCTTATTGGGGGAGAGAAAAAACAAAATTTATCAGTAACACGAAAGAATATATTAAGAATGTGATGACTGCTGTGCAGTCCTGAAATCAATAATTATGTGAACTATCAATGAGTGTAAAAACAAAAACATCTCTCCATCAGATAATGCTTTATAAGGAATAACGTTCTTCCAGCTCCAGGCTAGAACAGTTATTACAGAAACTCCCAAACGGATCTGTAACCAAAATCTGGTTAAAAAGGCAAAGCTCACACAAAGACAAGACAAAGCCTTGCAATGGGCTCTAATGGAACTGCTAAACAAGAGCATCTTGTCACATCCTGTCAGTCTGCTCAGGTGTATGTAGAAGACTTGATAGTTTCTTTCTTGTCATTACAAAAGTAAAGCACTGAAGAAGAGTCAACAACTTTTCCATACCATGGAAAACATCTTTTTCGTTCCCTCCTTGTTCACAAACATTTCTGTAATGATGGCGCATTACAAGGGATTACAAAGATTTCAACACAGAGCTTCTGGATTCACTCTGTGACTCCACCAGGAGATAACAACTGTTCTTCAGACAGAAGCCAGCAAAAGAAGGTACTAGTAATGTGCAGAATTGACTTAAGCCGCAGCACAAGCTAATTATTAATCTTCATCTTATCTAGGAAGATTCTATCAGCCATCAAAACAGCAACCAAGTCTTACACTAACCTCCAAATTAGACTCCAGCTCATGCATGTTTAACTTACACTACGTAGTATTTATTCCAAAACTAAAACAAAAATTAAGGTTCCGTTTTGAACAAAGACCACAATCAAGACGCAAGTACGTGAAATTCTTATTTGCTACACAAATCTGATTTACTACCCATTACAGATTAATTCAATAACACACAGTTTAAAATCACAGAGAACAAAACCACACTGAGTGTAAACAAAGGGTGATACTTACATAGGGGAAAAAAGATCATGTTAATGCAAGCCTTAGTCCAAAGATCATCTTGACTTCAAGTCTCAGGCCAAAGAGCACGAACACAGCCAACTTTACTTTACAACTGCTGTCACACATGGAGAAAGAGTCTCCATTTTTAATATTAAATACATTCAGGACAGAATATAAATCATGCTTTTCTACATTATGTTCCAGTCTGTTATGGAAATCCCCACATTGAACTGAAATACCTAAAGAGGAAGAAATCTCCTGCCACAAACAAAATTTCAAACACAAACTTTGTCACAGGCATTTGTCAAAGAGATGAAGGTAAGTATTCACACATCACACCTTCAAGTTAACCCCCAACACAGGCTAAAACCAACACATAACACAGGAAAGAAAGCCGTTATTAATTGCACATACCTTCTGCATCTGTTGGTCTGATTTGGCCATCTCTGCAAAGTAATCATCTGGCCTTCTCGTAGGAACCTGGAGCTTACGCAGCCTAGGCAGGGCTTCCAGGACGGCTGCCTGAGCCTGCCGGTAACTGGGGAGACAGCACAGCACCAGCTCTGTCACTGGGTATCAGCATCTCACAGCGCTGGCAGAAACTCTGCTCATGTAAGCCAGCTGATACAGGGATCTAACAAGTGCTGATCTAGAATCATATCAACACGCTGTGCCCTACAGCATTCAGTCCTACTAAACGCAATTTACATGCCAACATAATGTTAACGCTTATATCTTGCACATGTACAGTTATCTAGTTTCCAGCTACAGTTTTATATATCGCATTACAAGAGGCAAGGCAAGACAAGAGAACTGTAATAACACCAAACAAACCCACAAAGAAAAATCCGTATCCTGTGTGAAAGCCACAGTGCTGCAACCAAGGAACTGCTGAAGTAAACTTTTCAGCAAAGAATAGAAGTCTGCTGCGGGGAGAGAAACTACTGCCAGTCACAAGACAACTTAAATGTACTAGCATTAATCTGTAGTTCTTCTGGAAAACATTCAGAGCCATCGAACGCGAAGCCCCCGGCCCACGAGTGCCGCACTGACAGCCAGCACGGCAGTCTGCAGGACACCTGCAAAGCACAGCCCCAAGCACGCAGCGGCACGCCGAGGCCCTGCACGAAATCCCCCTGCGTGACACTCACAAGCTCATCTCCCTCTGGAAATCATTCTCGGGGTCAACGGCGTCTTTGTCGGCAGCGCCCTGCGAGGCGGGGTCCACGACCTGGCCCGAAGTCACGTCCA